AAAGAGATGGCAGTCATAATTTAGAAAACATCAACAAGTCGGGCAGTGGTGGTGCACACCTTTAATCCCAGCACTTGGGAGGCAGAGGCAGGTGGATTTCTGAGTTCAAGGGCAGCCTGGTCTACAGAGTGAGTTCCAGGACAGCCAGGACTACACAGAGAAACCTTGTCTCAAAAAACCAAAACCAAACCAAACCAAACCAAAACAAAAAACAAAAACAAAAAACAAAAAACAAAAAACCCATCAAAAAATCCATAATTAATTTGAAAATATTAATGAAGTAGTTTCTTCAGCAATGCATAATGTATGTCCACTAAACCCATCTGATTAGTAGTGTTATTAGTTTGTTTTTATCCAGAGTGACATTTTTGTCCACTTGCTCTAACATTTGAGATATAGGATATAATCTCTACTTTGTTCTTCCATTAACATTTGGCTTATATATTTATGATGAAGAACTCTCATAAGATAAATGCTAAGAATGAAAAAAAAAATGGATGAAAATTTAGGCCTTATAACTACTTAAAAGGTATTGAGAGAAATGAACAATTCCAATACCCCCAAATCTTGACGTTAGCTAAAGTAGATACATTTTCAGTAAAACACACACCCAGAGGTCTGAATATTCATTTATCTGCTGAATAAGTTACTGAGTAAGCACTTTACTATGAGCTAGGCATAATGTACAAGTGGTTATCCCAGGCTAAGGCAGGAGGGTAACAAGTTGGAAGCCCATTTGAGTTATACAGAAGGACTGTTTCTGAAAAGCAAAACAAATGAATAATTGAATGAACACCTCATCATGAAGAAAACTCCAGATCTTAAGACTTCAAGAAATTCTATCAAATATTTAAGGAAGAAATAATGCAACAAAGTTCTCCAGAGAACAATACAGGAGGGAATAACTCCTAACTATGCTTTAAGAAGCAGCATGGTTTTGATATGAAAATGGAAAATACACTATAATCAAGTATATTGTGGTTCAGTATTATTCACGAAAAAAGAAGCAATATTCCTAAACAAGTAGTAGAACCAAGTCCAGCGTTATACAAAATGCATACCACTATACCCATATTGAGTGCAATTCAGAAGTTCAAGGTTGGTGTCTTGGTTAGGGTTTTATTGCTGTGAAGAAACACTGTGACCAAGGCAACTTTTATAATGAAAAAAACATTTAATTGGGGCTGGATTACAGTTTCAGAGGTTCAGTCCACTATCATCATGATGGGAAGCATAGCAGTATCCAGGCAGGCACGGTGCTGGAGAAGGAGCTGAGAGTTCTACATCTTGATCTGAAGGCAGCCAAAAGGAGACTCTACTCTGCAGGCAGCTAGGAGGAGGGTCCCTTCCACAATGGGTGGAGGTTTCGCACCAGGAACCCTCAAAGCCCACCCCCACAGTGACACTCTTCCACCAACAAGGCTATACCAATTCTCACAAGGCCACACCTCCTAATGGTGCCAAGCATAGTTGATTTTTGTATATTAGTCACTGTAATTCATATGAACAACCTAAAAGAGAAAACATGATGGTGTCAGAGTCAAATATAAAAACTATTTTAACGAAGTTGACACTGATTCATAATGTTTATAGAATGGATCTTAGCTAACACAGTAAAAACCCCCCTTAATCAGAGAAAGGCAGTCCCTGAAAGGAGCCTTCAGGGCTCGCCACTGGTATTGTGGGTCTATTGTTTTCTTGACATGACTTACACTTGTCTGATTGTGAAGGGTGTTCATCTCACACCATTACCTAATAAGAAGCTAAGAGATGATCAGACAGTTGCTTGTTGAAAATGCAGTGGGAGAGGAAGAGATCACCTCAATAGCCAGCATCTTAAATTAGACAAAGCAGATGGCACCTGAAAGCAAAGGCGTGTCCTACACAATGAGAAACAACCCTAGGAATTTTCCTGAGCTCTCTGGGGACAACTTCTCATTAACAAAGTTATGAAAAGTCATTAACTTTTCATTAACAAAGTTCATGTTTTCTTTAGATAAAGTGTAACATGAATTTTTGGGTTACGGCTAAACACATGCTAAGACAGCCATTTTCCATTGCTGTTTATGGTTGTTTGAATGAGAGTAGACCCGACAGGCTTACAGATCTGAAAGCTCGGTCACCAGGGAGTGGCACTATTTGAAAAGCTCTCTTCCTGCTGCCTGTGGATCTGGAAGTAGAACTCTCATCTATTTCTCCAGCACCCTGTCTGCCTGCTTCCCACCATGATGATAATGGACTGAATCTTTGAAACTGTAAGCCAGCCCCAACTAAGAGTTATGTTCATAACAGTTGCCTTGGTCACGGTGTCAGCAATGGAACGATGAAGAAGACGATGCTGGTATCTGAATGTAGTGTCTCAGTGAGTCAGTCTGCTTGTTCCTCCTATGTTCAGTCTCCATCTTCCGCAGCCCTTTCCTGGAATAAACTCCTTCATATTCATAGATCCTCTTGTCATCCATCCCCAAACACCTTTCTCTTCTGTAAACCTACAAAAGCACCTTTCTTCTATGAAACTTTCCCCTCTGTCCTCAGTGGACCTTTCCCTCTCCCCTAATAGTATTTAACCTGCTATATTAGATTTGAACTTCTTGAGGAACATCTTACGCTTGAGATGGAGGTCCGTGGTAGCTTCCTTGTCCTGCATGCACAGTGTCCTGGGTTTGAGCTCTACAATTAGGGAAGGAAAGGCCCTGTGTCTTTATATTTACATTTTTTTCTATCTAAATTTAACAAAAGTTCATTATGTGCAGAAATAATAGTAAACGAATACACAAGTGATTGACTAGGCAACTCTACCTCAGCAGGCCTCAGTTTCATTGTTACGACCTTCTGGGTGCTCTGTTCAGCACTCCTGAACTCATTCTAGCTAGTAATGAAACTGTCTCTGCTTGAGTACACGGAATTTACAATCAATAACGAACTCTAAATTGAATTTCTAATTGCTTTTACAATGCTACTGCGCTCACAGGCCTTCCCAACACTGACTCTCCTGTTTGTGGTATAACTTTCATTTTTTACTTCCACCCTATTTATGTTGAATGACGTGAAAGAGAAGGAGCAGCCTGAGTTGAACATTTTGAGGAATAGCCTTAATTAGATATGTAAAAGAGTCTGAAAAAAAGGAATCAGTCTATAACCAAAATTGATTCCTAATTAAGTTTAGTGGCTTAATACCAAAACAAGTAGAGGCGAAACAAACTGCTAGGAAAATGGAGAAGTGAATTCTTCCCGCTTCTCTCCAGTTCCTTTCACCCAGGTCATCTGCAGAACTTTCTGTTACTTTATACAGACTGTAGCAGAGGAAGAGGCCGATGCCTCACTGTGCTGGCCACTGGGGAGATAAAGGCTGGGCACATCTGCACCCCCTGCAATAGACTTCCAGGGATGCTGATGTTTAGCAAAGGTAGTCGAGCATAGCTGCAAGCACTGAAATCCTGGCTCTAAGTTCAGGGCACCAGGAAGGGGTCAGAGCAAGCAAGCCTCTGTAAGCATGCTGTGTAAGTTTCAGAGGTAGGCTTGTTCAGGCAAGGGCTTCACAACTCTGTGTGCACATTGAAGCTCCCTAGAGCTTTAAAACCAAAAATATTGCAAGGTTCAGAGTCTGTCCCAACAGTAATACCAGAGGGAGTGGTGGTGAAGAGGTGTGGGTGGTGACAGTATTTTCTTAAGGCTCCTACAGGTGTTTCTAAAGTACTCCAGAGTTTGCAACCAGTCTTTGAAGCAGAGACTAATGATTTTTGAAAAGCTAATGAGGGCTCTGAATTTTATGTCTTTCTTTCTTTAAAAAAAGTACTTTGTTTTAATATTTACACTTAATAGCTGTATAGTTTTGTTTCTTTTGCTGCAGAAGAATACAATAGTCCAATCGACATCTTTAAAATTACCTCAAATTATAGTTATATTCCTAGGAGGAAGACTCCTGGGGTCTTAATTTCCAGCTTAGTGTTTATGAAGCAATGGCCAATATACATCATGGCTGTGTAAATCAGTCAGGAGGAGTCACAGCAGAATCTTAAATATAAGCCCTGATGGGTAGATAGGATTTGGATAGGCACAAGAGGTGGGGTGTGGTGGAGGAGAAGCATATCAAAGGAAGGAGCAGCAAAAGCAAAGGGGAAGAAAAGGGAAAAACCAAAGAAGAGTGAGTGCCATAGAACCCAAGCCTGAGCCCACTGTCTCAGAGGACATGTAAGGCAGGCCAAACACATGACACTCCCAAATGTATGTACAATGAAAATGAGTCTAATATCAAGTTCAAAGATGACATGGAAACCCAATGGCAAATAGCATTTATTGAGCACCAACTATATACCGGGAATGGTTTCTTAGCATCCTGTCTATGTATTACTAATCCTTCCTGTGCTACTCAGTTGTAGTTATAATAGAAGTGAATCCTGTAGGAGTACAGGGAGGCAGGTGCTTGGAAATAAAATCAGATAGGAATTCGGAGCCAAGGATCTTCCTGTTTTGTAAGTATGAAACATTTATTGAGATTTGTCTCTGTGAGGAATGCTAATGGGATGCTTGCGAAAGCCAGTTGGAAGGAAAATAGGAGGGGCTGAGACCAGGCCAATAAAAGAGGCAAGAGTCAGACTCCTGGCCAGTTAGGAAGCAGACGGAGTGGGTGGTCCACAGCTAGGTTTGGGGCACCTGTGAGAATAAAGAGCACAGATGCCAGGGTCACATGTGGGTCCTGGTGAGAGAAGGGAGCCTTAGAGACTGGGAACATGGGAGGACCAGGTGGGCAACCCAGAATAGGGAAGGTGTAAAAATGAACTTCATTTTCCTTCTGGCTTAAGGCTGGCTACTGAGGCATTCTGGCCTGGGATATCCTACTGCATTGATATCCAGACTTTAACTTCTTTAACTTCATTTTATATTCACTCCGTATTTGAGGAGATGGGAGTATTGACTTCTATATTTTACATTTACTTATTTTAATAATTAATATGAATTTTATTACTATAATATATAATTATTGATATTACTCACCATAGGTTATCAGATGAGGATGAAGAGGGCAAGACCAAGCAGGAGTGTATCGTCTCTGACCCATCCTTTTCCATGGTTGCAGTTCAACGGGAAGACAGTGGGATAACCTGGGAAACCAACTCAAGCAGATCTTCCACTCCTTGGGCCTCAGGAGAAAGTCAGACTTCGGGAATATGTAGTTTGGAAGGGTCAGCTCTGACTTCTCCTCCAGGAAGTGTTTCCTTTATTATGGATGAAGTTAAAAGGACACGGAAAAGAACTCAGAAGTCCAAGCGTGGTTCACCATCATTGCGTCGGAAAGGCAGCAAAAAGAGAAATTCTCTGGAATCGCAAGATGTTCTGACAAACCAAGAAGGTGGTCCTTTAATTTCAGAAAGCCCTGTGCTCAATACTGAGAAAGAAAAGTCATCTATTGGTACTTATGATAAATCAAGAAGGAAGAAGACTGCATCAAATACGCCTCCCATCACTGGGGCTATCTACAAAGAGCACAAACCATTAGTATTAAAGCCAGTCTACATAGGAACGGTACAGTACAAAATAAAGATGTTCAATTCAGTTAAAGAAGAGTTAATTCCTCTACAATTTTATGGGACATTGCCAAAAGGTTATGTAATTAAGGAAATACATTACAGGAGAGGGAAAGATTCATCCATTAGTCTAGAGCCGGATTTGAGCACTAGTGGTTCTAACATAGTTTCCCAAAGGAAATTAGCCCAGAGCCCAGGAGAAGACACGGCAAGAGAGCCTGCTCCACCGTGGAGAGGTGCCCTCTCCAAAGGGTCCATGACCTCATTGTTTAGTCACGAAGAGCAAAAGAAAACGTATGTCGATTCCCGCTTAAATGCTACATCTTCATCAGAACACACATTTCCCTCTTATTCCAGAAATGATACAGCAGATCAAGAAGAACATCCCAGACCTCCACAGATGGTGCCACAACAGTCAGCTGATGAATCAAAGACCCACAGAACAGAACCACCCAGCACTCCAGCAACCATGGTCCCTGAAAGAGCAAAGAAAGAACTAGAACAGAACTCACAAGAAATGAAAAGTTCAGAGGATGATGCTACAGTCTTGTCAGGCTCAGTTGATGATGGGAGACAGGAAGGCACGGTTTCTGTCAACAATTCCATGTCATGGGAGGCAGAAAAGGAGTCTTTGGAGACAGGACCACCAAGACCAGCACCAGCCATCCAAGAAAGGTTTGAACCAGACATGGAAGGGCTAGAGCCGATTTCAACAGAAGAAATAGAACAAGTGTCTGAATATGTGACCTCATCTGAGCCCATAGCCCCCAGAGAAGAGGAGCATGCGCCTGAGCCCATAGTCCATAGAGAGGAGGAGCATGCGCCTGAGCCCATAGTCCATAGAGAGGAGGAGCATGCGCCTGAGCCCGTAGTCCACAGAGAGGAGGAACATGCGCCTGGGCTCACAGTCCACAGAGAGGAGGAGCATGCGCCTGAGCCCATAGTCCATAGAGAGGAGGAGCATGCGCCTGAGCCCGTAGTCCATAGAGAGGAGGAGCATGCGCCTGAGCCCATAGTCCATAGAGAGGAGGAGCATGCGCCTGAGCCCATAGTCCATAGAGAGGAGGAGCATGCGCCTGAGCCCGTAGTCCACAGACAGGAGGAACATGCGCCTGGGCTCACAGTCCACAGAGAGGAGCATGAACTTGAGCCACCTCTCTCCCTTGCATCACAAGAACTAGAGAGGGGAGTGGAAACTTCTACACCAATCATGGATACCACTGAACCCGAAGATTCTAGTCTAGAAGAAGAAATCATAGAACTTGATTTCCCTGAAAGTCCTTTAGTTTCTGAGAAGGCTTCCCCATCGCCTTTGTCCCCTGAAGTGGAGCACAGAAAAGAGTCCATTCTACCATCACAGATGACATTCACACCTGAACATATCACTTTGTCTGAGGAAGAAACAGAGGAAATCGAGTCTGTTTCTCCTGATTCTGCTTTTGTATCTGAATATTCAGTCCTACAGGATTTGAACCGTAAACCAGAGACGCTAGAAGTAGAGGCAGTCTCTGTATCTGAAGTGAAATCTAGCTCTGAACCTGCAGTCTTTTCAGAGGATGACGAGGAACGTGAGTCTTATTCCCCAGCTGTGACCTCTGTATCTGAGCACTCTCTCTCTCCATCCACCACAGAGAAGACACCTGCCACCCAGTTCCCACTCTTTTCAACAGTTTCACCAGATGATCTGGTCCTGTCTGGAGATGAGGCCCCAGAGAGTACGCGCCACTCACCAGATTCCGTATCTGTGGCTGAGTATTCTGGTCCAGAGCATGTGCAAGAGTTGCTGGTGCGAACAGGTGGCCACAAGCTCCCATTAAAGTCCCAACATGTTTCTGAGCCCATTATTCAGGCAGAAGATGAGAAAGAAGACATTGGGATACTTTCCCCAGCTGTGGATGCTGCTTCTAAATACCCTCACTCACTATCACTAAGTGAGAAGGCTCCTGAATGCCATTTGCCACCATCCCTGGCTGCCACACTGAGACAAGCAGCTCTATCGGAAGATGAGGGTCTGGAAAGTGGAAGTTTCACATCAGATTCAAAACTGGCATTTAAACCCTCAGTTCCACAGAATGCAACACAGGAATCCCCCCCAAAGACAATAGATGACATGTCCCAGTTTGAACCAAAAGTTCTTTCTGAGCCTGCAACCTTGTTAGGAGAAGAAAAGGAAGCCTTTGGGGTATCTTCATCCAGTGAGGTCTCTGCAGATGACCGTGCTCTCCTCCCACAAACCACTGAGCTGCTTTCTGAAAGTCAGGCCCCACCTCCCTGGGCCACCTCATCGGAACATGTGGTCCTGTCAAAAGAAGGGAGCAGAGAGGACCAGCAGCGCTCATTCTCTTCCACACCAGAGCTTGTCCCCACATCTCCTCTGCTTTTGAAGGGTGCCTCCTCACCCGCAGGTCTATCAGAGCAAGGGCAGGAAGAAGACAACATTGGGCCCCTTTCCCCTGATTCTGCGTTTGCGTCAGAATTCTCATTCTCACCCTATCCAACTCAGGAACTAGAGAAAAGAGAGCTGGGGCGTGATTCTCCACTGTGCTTGACGTCGCCCTCTGAGCACACTGTTCTGTCTGATGAGGACACCGAAGAGGCTGAACTCTTTTCTCCAGATTCAGCATCACAGGTTTCAATCCCACCATACAGAATCGCAGACACAGAGGGAAACGTAGTCGAGCCAGATGAATTGCTGTCTACCAGGCCTGCTTCAGACTATCCCTATGTCTCAGAGGCAGATGAAGAAGAGACGGGGTCCTCAGTGGTCACGCCTGTGCCCGAGCATGCTGATCCATCACAGGAACGGAAAGAGGAGTCTTTCCCTTTTATGCCTGTGTTTGAAGATCTGAGCCTGACACCTTCAACAGATTGGACAGGCCAAGCAGAAACTGTGCCAGATGTTCCAACAATTTCAACCTCTGTATCTGAATATCTCATCCTGGCACAGCAGCAGAAAACTCAAGCATCTTTGGAGCCTGAAGCTGAAGATTCGGTACCACCACCTTTAACCAGTGAAGGGGAGAAGAGAGAGGCTAAGAGTAGTTCACCAGCAGTCATGATAGCAGCTTCTTCATCTTCACTCTCGTCGGTGGTAAAGGAAGAATTTTTGCCCATATCCATTTTGCCCACATCTCAGTCCTCAGTTTCACCTGAGTCAGCCTGTGTGCTTAAGACAGAACAGGAACCCAAGGCTTCACTCACTGTAACAAGTGCAGATGAACAGATGGCTTTGCCCAAAGTCGGAAGGGAAGAAACTGTGCCGGATTCTCAAGAGGCAACAGCACACGAATCACAGGATCAGACACCAGAGCCTCAGCCCCCAAATGTTCCAGGGTCTGGGATGAAATATTCAGTTTTGTCTGACTTGGGAGATGAGCCAAAGGCGGATGTCAAACCCAATTTAGCTCCAACTGTGACTTCTGAACTAGAACAGAGAATGTTGTCAAAGAATGAGCCTGAAGTGGCAAAACCATATTCACCTCCAGAGGAAACATCTATTTCTGGACGTAAGGTTTTATCTGCAGTGAAAACAGAAGTGAAACAGGAGTCCAAATCCAGGGACCTTCCTGCAGCTTCATTGGGAACAGAGAGGGAAGTCGAGCACCCACCTGTACCACCAGCACTTCCAGCTTTGTCAGAGGAAATGCAGAAAGAGACCAGTCTCTCTGCCACCACAGTGCCAGTAACTAAGCTTGACTCAAATTCAACTGAATTAGGCAGAGATGAAATCCTGACAGATCCATCTCTCGCCAGCCCTGTGGAACGCCCAGGCTTAAAGGGAGCAGGGAAGAGTGAGTTAGGACGTGGTTTGCCATCGCCCAGCTCGTCTATAGCTGAGCACACAGTTCTCAGAGGGGAAGAGAAGGAATCAATTAAAGGAGCTGCTGCTGTCTTTGCCAACTCTTCATCCGGAGGTTCAGCTTGGCCAGAAGAAGAGGAAGAAAGGAAATTAGATTCATCTCTGAGATTATTATCTCCCTCAGAGCTCTCTGTTTGGTCAGAAGTAGAAACTGAAGAAGTTAAACCTGGGTTGCCAGTATCCAAAGTGCCCTCAGATGTGGCCGGGGAAACCAGGGTAGAAGACAAACAAGGCTTTTCACTCTCTCCAGCTCTCCATTCTGAATGCTCCATTTCACCCCACAAAAAGAACTTGGTGTCTGTCTCAGCGGTGTTAGGGCCTGAACCTAAACATCCCATCAACTCAGGTAGTGAGGTAGAGAGAGAAGATAGTGAGCCTCCGCCATTGCAAGTGTCACCCACACCCAAATTCACAGTGCCAAATGACAATCCCAAGGAGATAATAAGGTCTCCTAATTCTGAAAATGTAGTGTTAGATGATTTAGTCCCAACATTGCTGGCCCTCGGAGATGAGTCAAACAGACAAGGAGAGGAGATATCTTCTCCAGTTCTGGGGAGTTTCCCATCAGGAAAGCAGGAACTCATAAAGATCCCCCCAGAGCCTAAGAAGTACAAACAGTCATCAGAAGTGCCAACTGCTGCATCAGAACTTATTGACAGTAGAGACAGAGATGGATCCTTAGGTAGAGAACCAGTAAAACCCACTGGAACTGAACCAGGGCCTTCTATCTTAGAAAAAGGCCTCACTGAGCATAGGAGCAGAGGAAAAGAAAACGAAGAAAACAGGGAGCTTCCTGTGCCTGCTACATCTCCATTAGAGACTGCTTCTTTTGACCTCCCCATAGAGCAAACAGAGCTTAAAAAGACCCTTCATGAGGGTCACACTGTTAAGGTACCTGATGTGAGCAGCTCTTTTACAGGTAAACCAGATCTGGGTATTAAACAATTAGCAGAGAAGAAAGAGAATTTGGAACAACCAAAGCCATTAATGACAACTGAGCCTGACAGTGTTACAGGAACAACAGTGAAGGAGACTCTCGTTTCTCCAAAAGATAACACCTGGATGCTGGAAAAGCCAGATGGCTTCGCCAATGAGCATGAAGGTAGAAAACCAGGATCCAGCCAGCTGGCATCATCTGAGAGCAGTGATCTGATGCCAGAGAAAGTTGGGGCTGCTCCATTGGATACAGATCACACATCTGGAATCAGGAAGCAGGTTCTACTCCAAGCTGTGGAAGAACCCCATTTGCCATTGCAAGAACAATTTTCTATCCTTCCTGTATCTAGTGACAAGGTAGAAACTTTATCCACTAAGACCTATCTTTCCGAAGAAACAAAGACTGTGGTTCCTGTTGGAAAGGTGGATAGAGGTGGAACAGAGGAGAGGCAAGATGGTTCTTTCACAGCAAGTGACAATTCAGTATCAGAGAAAACAAATACAGAATTTCCCAGGCCTTACAAAGAAGATGTCCAGATGGAAATCAAACTACCTCTTGAAAGAACTCTCCAGAAATCAGAGACTGGCCCATCAGTGGATCAGGTAAAGGCAGAAAATACCCCAGTTCCTGCCAGCACAGCACATTTCCTGGCTGATGCTGCAAAAACCACACTGGGCAAAAACCAAGAAGCAAGCATAGCACCAGTGTCTGGTGAGAAGCCATCTCAAGAACCCAGACAGATTCAGTCAGAGGCCGGAGATGATGCTGAGGAAAGGAGAAAGACAGCCTCTGATGTGGAAGTACTCACTCCAAATAAATCTGTCCCTGCTGAGAAAGCAAATATCACACCTCAACCTCCAGAGACCCCAGTGGTGTCACAAAAGCCATCTGAGAAGTCACTGGTCTCTGAGCAAGGTCTTCCTGCAGAGAAGGGAAAGAAAGGGATTTCATCTTTCAAGTCATGGATGTCTAGTTTATTGTTTGGATCAAGCACTCCAGATAATAAGGTCACTGACAACGAAGCTCCAGAATCACAGCCAAGTCCCTCTGTAGAGAAAGTAGTAACTGCTGTAGAGCCTAAAGGTACAGTTCCTGCTGAGGTTAATGCAGCTGAGAAACCAGGGGTTCATTCATTACCTGAGGTCACAGTTAAACTGGCTGAGGAACCCAAGGGTGTTTCAGCTAAATCCAGTGAAAGTCAAAACCTTAAAGAAAAACTCACATTTTTATCAAATGCAGATGTTTTAAAGCAGCCTACATCTAACTCTGAAAACTATGGGAAGAAAGAGCTCCCAGGCTTTTCAGAGGGAATGGGTGAAAGCTTAGCTACTTTAGTTGGTGACGAACATCCTGGAATTCACCCTCATTCCCCTGCGAGTGAGAAAGTAGGTATGGACGAAGCCCAAAACATGGTTCCTCTTCATATTACTGAGAGCCAAAGACGTCAGAAGCCAGAGATCTCTCCCCCATCTATGTGGAGTATTTCTGCTCTTAAGGAAGAGCCAAGCAGTGATCACAAAGAAGCATGGCTCTTGTCATCTGACGTAGTAGATAGAATGCCACAACAGCCAAAATCAGCTCCATCCGCCTTCACAAGGATGGACTCAGAGAAGCCAGCACCAATGATTTTGCCAGTGGAATCAAAAGGCAGTTTAATTGATCTTGGTGAAGACAGACTGAGACAAGAAATGCCAAAACCCACTTCTCTGGAACATCGTGAAGAGGAAGTGGAACGCCCAACGGAGGAGAAGGATGGCTGGGGAACTAGATCATTTTCCTTGGCAGGGAAGAGGGGGCTGGCAGAGAAGCATGAAATCATGGCTCCCTTGGAACTCAGGGAAAATAAAGCAGTAGGAGAGTTGCAAACGATGCCGGAATCGCGACCTTTCAAATTGGAAGAATCAAAAGCTGCTGAGAGGCTGGGACAGCGCATCTCTCCCAGTGAAGAGCTCATGGAAAAACCCAGCGAGACTCTTGCTTCAGAGAGGAGAGAAAAGGAAGTGCAGGAATGGGCATTTTCAGAAGGAGAGAAGCAGGAATACCTATCCTACTCTCCCCCTGCAGCCATGCCTGTGCCTGAAGCATCAGCTGTCTCTTTGGATAAGGTCCAACCACCTTCACCAGCTAAATCACCACCAGTTATTGAAAAACCAGAACATATATTCACAGAGGCATACCCAAAGATTAGAGAGAGAAAGGCAGCAGAAACTCATCCACATCCCCAAGAAGAAGGTAAAACCTTAGGAGAGAAAGCCAAGGTTTCCAGTGTGGAGCCTCCCCATGGAGAGGAAATGGATTCTTTTACTCAGGGAGGAAATCTGGAGTTGGAAAAGTCACATGAGAGTAGAGTGGATCTCAAAGAGGAAAGGAGGCAGCTTGTGATGCCAGAGTTGTCCCTTGGTGCTTCAGTGGCTGCTGAAGATGGAAGTGTGCAGCCCAGCCCCCTATCTAAGGATGCTGAGAGGACATCAGAGGGCATGACTGGTGAAACAAAGAATGTAAGAGCACCGTCGACTCAGCTGTCAGTCATAGAACCACAAACTCTTGTTTTAGGAACGTCTCTAAAACATACAGCGAAGAAACAAGAAACATGGTCAGACAGGCCTACAGTCCACACTATCCAGACATCTAAAGATCACCCAGAAGAGATGCCGAAACAGTCTGTTCTTATTTCAAAGCATCACATGGGAGCTATGGAGGATGTGCACAGAAATGAGCCACCAGCTTCAGCAGCAAGCAACTATACTCAGTTTATGCTTAGTGCATCAGCAATCAGTGCTGATGGAGTGTCTCCTATGGGAGGTACACCCCAGGAGCCTGAAGGCACCTCTGTGAAAGATGAAGAATTTTCAGTAACCAGCAAGCCAGCTGGACTTTCAGAAGATCAGAAGAGTGCCTTTAGCATCATTTCCGAAGGCTGTGAGATATTGAATATTCATGCCCCTGCCTTCATCCCTTCAGTGGATCAGGAAGAAAGTGAACAAATGCAAGATAAGTTAAAGTATTTGGAAGAGAAAGCCTCATTTAAAAGCATATCTGTTCATGATGAGAGGAAGGCAGCTGCTTCCGGTAAAACACAGAAGAGCAAGTTAGAAGTTCCTGATAGGAAAATCACATCACTGATGGAAAACAAGCCAAAGGAAACTCATAAGACAGACGAGGAGATAGCCACAGACTTAGAAATGGGTGACTTCACATCTGCCCAACCCACTGTTTCTGGTGAAGAAGATTATTTTGAAAAATATACTTTGATTGATTATAACCTCTCCCCTGGCTCAGAAAAGCAGAAATCAACTGTTGAGGAATCCTCAGAGGAAGCCACAGAAACTCTGACTCCTTTCCCAGAAAGTTCAGCTGAACAGCCCCTAGACCACAAATATGACTTAGTCAAGTTAGATGAAAGCTTTTACGGGCCCGAAAAGGACGGTAGCAATTTATCTCATGCAGAAATGCAGAAATCTTTGGTTATCCAAAAACCAGATGATAGAAATGCTCCAAAGGGTATCAGTAGAGATGTGGACTCCAGGTCTCCTGGGATGCCTTTATTTGATGTGGAAGAAGGAGTTCTGTCAAGAAGACAGATATTTCCCACCACCGCCAAGCCTGTCAACCCCGAGCTGCTAGAGGAGCCACCCGCACTTTCCTTCTTCTATAAGGATCTGTATGAAGAGGCATTTGGGGAGAAAAATGAAGGAGAAACGGCTTCAGAAGGTGACAGTGTGGATTCTGAGACATCATTTCCAAGGAGATATTCTGACACCGATGACGGAACGGGTATGTATTTTGAGAAGTACATACTCAAAGATGACATTCCTCATGACAAATCTGTAACTCAAGAAGATCAAGGCCAAGGCCTGGAAGAAAAGCCAGTTGGTGAAGAGGATTCACAGCAACTGAGAGTTGCAGAAAGAGAAATCGGGAGAAAGCCTGAAACTAGTTTTTGGGAGAAGAATCTGGAAGAACAGTACAAGGTGGTTGACAGGGAAGGAGAACCCATAGGCCACATGGATACCCTTGATGAGGCAGCAATGCAGCAGAAAGCTCCCATTACAGAGCAAGTCAGAGCAGTCACCCAGAAGATGAGCTACGCAGTTCCATTCGAAGATACCCACCATGTTCTGGAGAGTGAGCCAAGCAGTCAGGGTAATGAAACAGGAAATGCAAGCCCAGAGGTCAATCTAAATGTCCCAGTACAAGTGTCTTTCCCAGAGGAAGAATTTGCAGCAGGTGCCACTTATTCTCCTGAAGTATTGCAAGAGGAGCTGGTCCCATCTATTTCATGTGAAGAGAGGCTCCACAATATTCCTGTGCAGGATGAGTATGACTTTGTTGACTCTCTGAATCAGGAAACGGCCAGTCAAGGTATCTTACCAGAAGAACCATGTTCAGAATCTTCATCCAAAGAAGTGTTATCTCAAGAAACAGAATCTTTTGAGCACATCAGGGAACAAGAACTCATGAGTGAGGAGGAACTGAGAATGTCTGCTTCACAGGAAGAATGGGACAGAAGGGGAGAAGACCAGTCAGCGACAGAATCAGTGACTGCTAAGACACAAAAGGAACAGAAAAAGGCCCAGGTTGAATCTTACTGCTATACCTGCAAAAGCCTGGTTTCTGAAATGGACAAGGTGCTGGACATTCACAAAGACCACGAGGTTTCAGCACTCGACACAGCTATAAGTGCTGTTAAGGTAAACCAACTTAACACACACAAATTGTACATAGATATTGGGTTTGCTTTCATATTTTCTTAAAAATGGCCAGTATTTGATATTTATTTTAAGCAAAATGGTCTGAAAACATATGGATATTTCCCTAAGAATTTAGTTATCACTAACTTATCTATTATTTTTACAGGTAGGTTATATGTCAGAGCATTTTTCTAGGTTCTTAGGAGCTTGCTATCTCAATAACAAAGACCCTTAATGTTATAAAAAAGTAAAATGCTTTTAGCATCAATAGTTACACATTTGCACACAAAGCAAGTTACTTTTGCCATCAATAATATTGTCCTTTAAAATATGTCTAGTGCCCTGACCAATTCTAATCTAAGTGCTAAAAATGCTTAAAACAGTAAGATTTTAATTTTGAGTCTCATCATATCCCATCCCTCCAGAGATGCTGCTGAGAAACATGGGACCACTGAGCACCCATCCACTGAGAACTGATCCACTGAGTACTCATCC